GGATGTGTGTGTGTGTGTGTCTGTTTGTGTGTGTTTATGTTTGTGTTTTTTCCATCTTCAGCCCTGAGGGTGGTTGGGATTACACTCATGTGCAATTAAATGGAATGTTGTTTTTTAGTTTGGGTAAGCTTCCTGAAGCAACAGTCCAGAGATTTTTTTTTTTTTTTAAGATTTTATTTATTATGTATACAACATTCTGCTTCCATGTATATCTGCACACCAGAAGAGGGCACCAGATCTCATAACAGATGGTTGTGAGCCACCATGTGGTTGCTGGGAATTGAACTCAGGACCTCTGGAAGAGCAGTCAGTGCTCTTAACCTCTGAGCAATCTCTCCAGCCCCAGTCCAGAGCTTTTGAGTGACAAGCTGCCTGACTAAAGATACGGGATGGCTTCTGAGGTCCAGGAAGACTGTGCTATTGATAGAGAGTGGTATACTCTCTATCAATAGCTGGGATGGGAAGTTAGAGAGTGGTATACTCTCTATCAATGGATGGGAAGTTCTGCAAAGCCATGCAACTTACACAATACAGTGGCTTCATAAATCAACCCAAGAAGGTTTACAGGAGAGGGAAGTGAAATGAGATTGGAGTAAATGAAGAGTACTTCATACTGGAATTAAAGTTTAGGTAGAATAAAGACTTAAACATAAACAACCATTTTTAATTCAATCACAGATAAAACGTATGGGCTACAAAGGGCACCATCAGTGACAACAGGATCTGGGAAAACACACTGGCAAAACATGACTTCATTGGGAATGTTACAAGTCTTATCTTTGCAAGTCAATAGGAAAATCTTCCTAACAGAAAGAAGTTATGAAATATAAAAAGGTAACTCACAGAGAGAAACAGTAGCCATTAGACGTATGGAGCATTCTTGTCTTCCCTAAGTATCAGGGAAAGTTAAGATTAAAGTAGTGAGTGTTCAGCTTATACCCACGAGGGTGGCATGTATTAAGAAGTTGGATATGGGTAAACAAAAATAAGGGCAAACAGAATTTGAAACACAGCTGAGTATGAAGTGGTACCACTGTTTAGAAATTAACAAATATGTGCCATCTTAGAGAGTTGAAAGTGACTATCCATGAACTGGTATTTAGCTCCACATATTAATACCTGACAGAAGCCTTGCATAAGTGGACAAGGAAACACACGGCTGTTGGATTGTTGGTGATAACAACATAAATATTAATTGTTGGACCAGACTAAAATAATTACGGTTGATTCTTCTACTGTAACTTATAGGAGTTAAAATAAACTGATTCAAAGCTGAATGTTTCAACATGGGTACATCTTAGAAACAAGGTTCAGTGGAATAAAAACCAAACTAGAGCTGGTGAGATGGCCCAGTGGGCAAAGGTCCTTGTTTCCGAGCTTGGTGATCTGAGTTCAGGTCCCAGAACCAACATGGTGGACAGAGAGAACTGATTCCTGAGGGTTGTCACCCAGGCATGACTTATGATATGTACATGTGTCTCATTCCCTCCCTCTGGGAGGGAGGGAGAGAGGGAGGGAGGATGGATGGATGGATGGATGGATGGATGATGGATGGATGGATCTAAGAAGGAAAGCAAATTGAATATGATGTTGCTGTAAACCCAAGAAGTGGGAAATAGTGATGTAAAGTCAAGCTATAGATAAAGTAACAGTTTAAAGGTGGATGTTGAGGGCTAATGATTGCCACCGCGGTAGGTTGGCGGTAGGTTGCTAGAGCACTTGCCTAGCCTGCAGAAGCCTTGGGTGCCCAATACTGAGAGAGGAGAAATGTAACCACAGGATGAATAGGTTTTTTCATAAGTATTAAAAGCCTGCATGGAGGGGCTGGAGAGATACTCAGAGGTTAAGAGCACTGGCTGCTCTTCCAGAGATCCTGAGTTCAATTCCCAGCACCCACATGGTGGCTCACACCATCTGTAATGAGATCTGGTGCCCTCTTCTGGCATGCAGGCATACATGCAGGCAGAGCACTGTACACATAATAAATAAATCTTTAAAAAAAAAAAAAAACTGCATGGAAAAGAGAAACACAAACCAACAGGGACAAAGAAAATATAAAGGTTTCATCTGAATTTAAAGTATTTTTTAAATCTGAAGTAAATATTGTAAAATATTAAGATTAAAAAGTGGCAGAACCCATAGCTGTTGGATATGTTATTCTCCATACTTCTGATGTGTGTAAATATCTCATATGTTCTAAAAACATAATACTATATTTATGAGCAAGCCATATAAAGTGGCGTTTTGTCTTGAGATGAAGTAAGCTGCTCACACTGCTGCTTACATGGTTTTTCTCATGTGCTTCCAGCTGCTCCATGTGCACGAGATCTTCCTTGACTGTCACTACAACTGGGAGCTGGTGATCTGGTGCATCTCCTTGACACTGTTCCTCCTGAGGTTTGTGCTTCTTGGATCAGAAACAAGTAAAAAATACAGCAATACCTCAATACTACTTACAGAGCAGGTGAGTTTATTCTTTTATAAATGAATCTTTGTAGTCTACAGTCCAGGTGTTCATGCATATGCGTGTGTGTATGAGAGACAGATGGAGGGGAGGGTCAACTTGGAAAATTCAGTTCTGTCTTTCTATCGTGTGTATTCCAGGGATCCAACTCACACCATTAGACCTGGCAGGAAACACCTTTCCCCACTGACCAGCCCATATACATACTAATTTAAAACATACTTTTGCTTATTTCTTATTTTTCAGGAGCATTTTTTTATTGAGGTCATTCATACTGTGAAGCTATATTTCCAATCTCATCTGCTGTTTTTATGTTCTATTTTCATTTGGGAGTTAGTAGTATTTATAAAAAGTATAGATCTTAAATCATTAGTGGGATATGATGGCTTTGCATTGTAACAGAACCACATTAGAGTAAATTTAAATTTTTATTTATCAGAAAGAACAAAGCATAATAATTTTGATAATTGATTTTATTTTATGAGTTTGATAAATATTTCCTCTTGCTATTTCATAAGAATTGACCAAAAGAAATCTTTGCTAATGAGCTTGTTTGGATATTTTAATTAGGTGGGTAAGCACAGTGTAATAAGAGGCTTGGAGTTAGAGCCTTTTCAAGGAAGGGACCTAAGCTGGGCAGGTACCCCAAAAGCATCTATTAGAGAGTAAAATGATGAAGATATGCAAATATTCAATTACTTTAATAATTCAAGAAATCATGAACCAATCTGCTGAGTTTATTCTGTTGCTATTTATTCTCTTAAGTTGATCTGGCCCTGAGAATACAATGTCTACCTTTTTAAAAATTTTCTTATTATAAAGTAAGTTTATTATTAGATTTAGAATGTATAATAATGAATAAATATTAAAATCATTTGTAATGTTAATACCCATAGGTCCACTATTAACATGATAACTGTCTTTCAGACCTGTGTAAGAATGCATTTGTGGGCAGGGTCTAACTCATTGGTACAATGATTATGTAGTATACATGAGGCCTTGGGTTCAGTCCCCAGCACTGCAAAAGAGAAGCATATATGTTTTACAATTTTAAATGATTTTTCCTATGGGGCTCTTTCATATAAAAGATAAACCTCTACTTGAAAATGGAGAAGAAACCTAACAAAAAGGAGGAGCTGACACTTGTGAATAATGTTTTAAAACTGGCTACTAAACTATTGAAGGTAAGAACAGAGTAAAATTGATGAGGGGTGTGCTGTTCTGACATTGTGCCTTAGTCTCTGTAGATTCTGCCTTGTATGTGGCTGTCATACACATTACATTTGGACACATTTGTGCAGCTTTGTTTTGTTTTTCCTTGCTCAAGTAATCTGAATAATTTCTTTGAAAAGTATATTAAGGCATATACTACTGTTGAGTATATATAGATGCTGTTTTTTGCTGTGTGTGTATGTGTTTAATCAGTTTTGTCTAGAATAGTAAGAAATATTTCACAAAAGATTAGAAGTTAACTCAGAAGTTGCTCATTTTGTATTTCATAGAGCAGTCTCCTCTTGACCCACATTAGCTTAAAACAGCAATGATACACAGTCATTGTTATATACATATATTGTCAGTAAATATTTAGTTTGAAAATAAGTTTTGAATCATCAAAGACTGTAATAATATGTTTGGTGTCATATATCCTTGGGAATTAAAAAAGGTCTTTTATTAATTTTGCATTGGGATCTTGCTATGTAACTCTGATTGGTTCAGTATTAACTGTGTTGCCCAAGGTGACTTCAGACTTGAGGCTACTTCCTGTCTCAGTCTCCCAAGTGCTGGGATTACAGGTGAGCCACCATGCCTGGCTCTCTGGGGATAATCCAATAGGGCATTGTAACCATCAAGTTATAGTATTGCTTTCCTTTGTTAAAACTAAAATCTATTTAAAATTATTAATTTCTATAACTGATCGAGCATAGTACTTAGAGTTTTAAGTTTTCAGAGAATGGTATGAAATGAGTTGTGACTTGGTGGTAGGGTTAGTCCTCTGTCAACTAAAAGATTAAGTGGATGTAGACAGTGACTCATGGGAAGTTGGACATGAGAAAGATTCAGAGGAGGTATGACATAGAGGGATAATTATTGATTGCTTTCTTTTTACAGTTTTCTTTAGAAGGATCTTGAGGAAGATGATAGGTTTTAAATAAGCAAGTGAATATAGACAAATACCTTCTCCCACCTTTTTTCCCTCAGAAATTATTACCTTGGAAGGATGGTTTTCTGTTTGCTTGCTGTTTTTGTATTGTATATGACAGGGTATCTTCAGGGTGCCCTGTGGCAGACAACAGGGACTTACCCTGTGAAGTGCAGAGATGGATGCTCAAGGCACAACACTGATGTCGTGAGCTAGCCCAGAACTTGGGCCCGAGTGTGAATTGTACCTTTTCTCTCACTGGCACCAGCCAAGAATCCTCCTTTCCTATCAGTACCACGCTGGGCACAAGACCATTGTCACTTACTCAAGAATCTGAAATGCAGAACTTAAAGCATTCCTGCTTCTGCTGTTACTGCTCTCTCTCTCTCTCTCTCTCTCTCTCTCTCTCTCTCTCCCTCTCTCTCTTTCTTTTCCTCTTCTTTTTTTTTTTTTTTCCATTGTCATCCCAGAGACATTTCCCTGCCATTCTGCCATCTTCTCCTCTGGCTCAAGTTCCTTATGGTCAAGTCTGCCTAAGGAGAAGCTAGCCCTCTAAGTCAGTGCACTCCCTTGTGTCGGGGCTCTGACAGTGTTTAGCAGCCTGTAGAACCTTCTCCAGTCCTGCTCTTTCTTTGTAAGGCTAGCCTGCATGTCTCTGATGGAGGACCTCACTTGATTATTTGCATGTTTACTGAACTCTAAAGTCCTTCAGTTTAAGGACTGAATTTTATCTTCCCAAAGCCCAGCAAAGTGCCTATCTTATAATAGACCTTTTAATATTTGAATCATCCAATGAATTAGTTAGTTGTATATTTGAAGATGAGTTGAAAGTGAGTAGTGTTCTCAGCTCTGTTCTAGCTCTTATCCCTAAACTTACTCTCATCTCCTATATAGCTGGTAGGCCAAGACTTAACTAGGCGCTCATTTATAACAAGAAAAATTATTTTTTTCTCGGAAAAAAAATACCACCATTAAAATTTACTTATTTTAAATTTAAGTAAGTTTGTATTTTCTAAAGTACCCATAATTTATAACTTCTTGAATAGTGATTTTTTTAAACTCTTTTGCAATATTGGGCTTTAGTTTAACTGGAAATTGTTACAGGACCTAAGACTAACACTGTGTCTGCTCTGCTAGGAGTTGGACAGTCCCTTTCGATTGTACGGACTCACAATGAACCCGCTGCTGTACAATATTACCCAGGTTGTCATCCTGTCAGCTGTCTCTGGTGTCATCAGTGACTTGCTAGGATTTAATTTAAAGGTAAAAGTCTGTGGGTTTGTTTGGTTTTCTTTAACCCTGTTTTTCTTCTGACATTTCACATGCATAGTGGGTTTGTTTTGGCAAGTCTGCACAGTTAGTAACAGTGGCTTCACATTTAACTTCAGGGACTTCAATATACTCATGGATTTTCATCTTTGATAGAACTTCTAATTTGGAACAGAATTCATTATAATATAGGACTCTTAGAGTAAGTAAGAGGAGGAAGTATTTATTTTTCCTCATTAATTGAAACTAATTCTAATGACTCAACAAAAAGAGCCATTTTCTTTTGTTAGCCAAAAATACATTATATAGCAGCAGATACACCTTCCAATGCTTGTACAAATGTTGGTAGGGCTAGAAAGAGCATAGTAAACAAGCATTCCTATATATTGGCATTTCTCAGGGATTCACCCATTTCAGATGAGTCTTTAAAGACAGAAGGACACAGGAGCTCAGACACCACAGTCTGCAGCTGGTGGAGTTTTAGGCTAGGGTGCAGTAGCCCTTCAGCTTCCGTATTACCAGTGCTCATGACTTGGAATTTTTTTCTGTAGCTGTGGAAGATTAAATCATGACAGGTAGAGATGAAGACGTGGCTCGTTTCCCAGAGCGTGAGTGCTGAAGAAGCTGTCTGGACGCAATCACTGGCTCTGCTCCGGAGTCTACTGGGAACGAAGTGTTTACATCAGGCTGTACTGTGCAATTCTTATATTTATTTTGCCTGTTTACTGTTTTTGTTGTTGTGTGTGTATTTCTTTCATTCATTCTTTTTTTTTTTTTTTTTTTTTTTTTTTTTTTTTTTTACATTTTAGTCTGTTTGAAGCATTGAAGTTCTTAGTTTTTGAAAGGGTGACAAAGCTGGCCCCAATACTTGAGGTCCTGGCAATTGTTCATATGTAATTGACAAACAAATTGTGAAACAGAAGCCATCCTAAGCACTGCTTCTCCATCAATGCCGTGAACTTGCCTTACTTGATGAAGACTTCAGCTCTGAAACAGTGCGTTGCACTCAGCTAACCACATAGATCGTGTTCTTTGGTAAACCAGGATCCACTCAGGATCGCTCTTGAAATATTTCAGAACAATGCTGGGATCTAAACTGATTAAGCTACAGTTGAAGCACCCTTCAGTATTAATATGTGGTATTATGTAACAGGTCAACAAGTGCTCTTTGATAATAAAACTCTTAATGGAGCAATAATTGTAAATGGTTACCATACTGTAAAATATTTTGATAAAAATTAGTAGTAAATGTATTTATTTGAAACACTGAGCTGTTTGCACAGCTCCAACTGTGCATGCTCAAAATGTGCACTTTTAAAAATTGTTACTTTTGGTGTGTGTCTTTATGTGGGATATGTTACAGTGTACTAGGGCATAATACGGTATCCTTTTGAGTGAGGTCTGTCCTCATCTCACAAGTGAAGTGCCTCCTGCTGTCACTAAAGTACGTCACGTTTACTCAGAAGAATTTCCCTTGGTACACTATAGCGTATGCTGTTCCTTCCACACTTAAGTGAAGCTTAAGAATAAAGTTAAGAACCAACAAAATATTTACCTGATTGTTAGTTATCAAATTTCCAAATTTCCTGAAAGATGGCTTCATTCTACCACTCCTAGCCTCTGAATTTAATCTGGTGCACCCCTCCTCCAGCTCCGTTATATAAGGGCTATTTTTAGATGCTTTTAACATGGAAAGCTAGCTTCTCTCCCTTCAATAACTTGTCAAGTGTCCAGAGGGAGCTTATCATGTTTCTTGTTAGGGAATTAGGGCAGATATGATAGTCCCTGCATCTGGCCTTGATTCTAAGTTGTTACATTTGTACAATCAGTAGTGTTTTAAGAATTACATGAAACAAAATGTTTTTGTGATTGTTTTGTTTAAGCCAAGCATTTGAAACAATCTAGAATTTTCTTGGTGCAAAGTCATATCGAATATATTCATATTTTTTAGCCTATTTTAAGGGATTTAAATAATTAATTGTAAATAATTTGTTTGATTGGTGCAGTTTTAGTTCCCAAATCACTCAATATCAGGAATGTGCAGAGAACAGAGCCATGAGATGTGTTGCTCTGCCCATTCCACAGCAGCCTCAGTACAGCCTCATTGTAGAGTGCTCTTTGTGTAGGAAGCAGCAGACAGCATTGGTTCCGTTTGCCTGTGTTCTGACGTCCAATAATGACCAAAGTGCATTCTGAGTACTTTCAAGGAATGTATTACTGGAGCTTTAAGAACATACTTAGTTTCTCATGTGACAAGTTAGGCTTTGTCTGATATGTTTCTTCCTCTATTGTCTAATGTTGAGGTTGTTTTTAGGCACTATATTTTATAAACTTTTTCAAAATAAGGTACATACCTATACAGAACTTAACATTTTGCACAGATTATATCAGATATATTTTGAGAAAAAAAGTACAGCATGAATTCTGTTAGAAATAAAAAGACGAAATTATTGTATCTTACAAAAACTTATTTCAGAATGGAAATATTTTTGAGAAAAGTAGCAGAGTGTACTGATTTAGGAAAATGCTTGCTTTAGGTTGTTTAACGTGGAGTTGGGAGTTGATGTACAGTATATCTGTCAGCAACATGATACATTGATGTGCCATTAATGTGGGCAGCAGTAGAATACTAAGTGTTGTAAGCAGTTAATAATGTTAACAGAATCATTTCAAAGTAGTAAGATGACATCGCTGCCTTTAAGAATTCCATGAATGTAAAGAGTTGAGATTGTAACATATCACAGCATAGAGAAAAAGCAGTTCGAGGTAGAATTATGGCAGATGTTGTGTGCTGGTTCTTTGCCACGTGTTGTTTTTGAAAATTTGAATGGCAAGTTTAAAATAAAACATTCTATAACTGACAGTTGTGTGTCTGTGCATATTGTTTTAAGTGACATGACTGGGATGATTTTGTATTTGCTGCAGTTGTAGCATAAACCCTAGTTAACACCCTTTAGACAAGGGGTGGTAAAATAAAGTTTTAACAATCTCTTGACATTTTGGATTTTGTTCAAGTCCTTATAACTTTGATAGGGTAACGGTATACACACTAGGATGCCTGTACACGGTTAACACTTGCCCCTTTGTACAGTAGAAGGACGGCGGTAATTTAAAGTTTTTCCACATAAATCACGCCATCATGTGGTTAAATGTTCAAATATGTTACCTAATTGACACAAGGTGCTCAGGGTTCTTCAGGAATAGTCAAATGTGCTTTCATGCCTACCTCAACAGAGTGCCCACACACATTCTCTGTCAGACACCCACCAAGAGTATCTATCATTAACTCAGTCTGACACTCTACCCAAAACAGCATGAGATTCCACAAGTTGGAGCACTGCCTTGCAAGATTCCTGTCATTCAAAACCAAGCCAAGCTCAGTAGTGGATGTCAGCTTCTGAGAAATGGGCTCTAGAAATGCTTTCCTTTGGTTTAGTTTGCTTAAGCAGTTCCTAGAATTCAGGGACAGTTTTCCAAAAAGGATGTTAGAAAGAGTGAAGATGATGGAAGAGGTACTAAGGGCAAGGAGCAGTGGCTCTCTCTGGCCCACCCACCTCTCAGGGCCGCCACCTCTTGCAAAACCCGGGAAATCCTACAGAACTTGCAGTTAGAAACTTTATGGGAGTGTTACCACATGATTGCTTGGTGTGCTGTTAATTTCCTTCCTGGCTTCCGTATCTCTTTCTGTAGAACATGACATGGAATTGGAAACTCTTAAGCTTTCTAAAGAGCAGAAGAATGACTTGAGTCGAGACCCTTATGTACTGCCTTGCTGTCCAAGGTTGCATAGGTAATGACGGAATGCACACGTTCTAGGTTCCCATTGCGGCTGTCATCTGTGATGGTGTCACGTGGCTTCCTTCTTAACCAATCAAAATATTTAGCCCTAAGAAAATACTCCGGGATGAACAAAGCAACTGAGAAGTAACCTGCCTGTATTTCTGGTGAGCTTGTGTATAAACTCACAACCAACCTCAGTAGGAAAAGGCTCATAGTTTACCTTGCTGTGGCCTCTCTAGTTCATTTGACTGTGTGCCCTCCTTAAAGAACATTGTTTCACAGCCTTCAACTTCTCGTTTTGTGGTTTCTTTTTTTAATTTTAAGCAAGTAATGGATTTCATTATGGTATTTTATTTTCTTTGTAGTCCTGGCTGTCCTGGTCCAGTACACCAGACTGGCCTCTGACTCACACAGATTTGCTATTATGTCATTTTTCATACATAGTTTAGTTTACTACTCCTTCGCCCCACTCCCCAAGCTCTGGTTTTCTCAGCTGTAGACTGTGGGTGCTAATACCTGTCTTTGGGGCTATGAGAAGCGTTTGTAAGGACGAGGGCTAAATACTTGGTACGGGAGCTGAGAAAAAGTTATGTAGAGACTCACTCTTCCCCCTTTCTCAAGGACAAATAAGTAGTGGCCTGGGTCAGTTAACAAAAATTGCAAGATAAACCATTTGTGTTAAAATGTCCAGTGCCCCCGCCTCATCTGAGTGACAGAGACAAGGTCTTCTATAGGAAACTAGGGCTTGGTTACTTTTCTAAGGGTGGGACTCGAAGTTCCGTTAAGCAAAACAACTTAGCACACTTTCTCTCATGTGAGATTTGGGCTTAAATACATGTGTTTTTACATTTAATATACATTATAGCACATGAAGTAGAAGGGGCACTGTGAGGATACTTGGGGAAGTCAGAGGTGGGGAGATTGATTATAGCTTCCTGAACAGAAGAGACTACTGCAGGGGAGGGGGGGCTGGCACAGCAAGAAGGGGCGGGTGGATGGCAGTGAGGAGGGCAGGGTGAGAACACATTGATCACATGAAACACATTTCTTTGCCAACCAAAAATTCATATATATGGAAAAAATTGCCCTGGACTGGTGAGGTGGATCATTAGGTTAAGGCACTTGCTACCAAACTGTGGAACCCATGCGCAAGGGGCCTTCTACAAGTTGTCCTCTGGGGTGTGTGTGTCACACTAAGTAAATGTAATAAAAAGATAACGGGCTTTGTCTCTTTGAATCCTAGTAAGTGTGCATAATTGCCAGTTTACAAATGCTTTAGCCAGATTCTGAGATGCACACATCATCCATATCCCCTCGTTGTTAGCTCTGTCCCCTGAGGAACTGTGCCAAGACCCTAGAGCAGTGGTTCTCAGCCTTCCTAATACTGCAGCCCCTCATATTGTGGCAACCCCATAGAGTTATTTTTGTTGCTATTTTGTAACTGATTTTTAAAATTTTTTTATTTAAATTAAAAACAATCTTATTGTTAGACCCCCGAAAACTCAAGTATCCGGGGTCCCAGGCCACGTTTTCGGTCACCCCAATCACCAGGCGGATTTGAGAGCTTGCTGCAAACTGCACGAGGCTTTATTGTAATTTAACGAGCTAACCCCATGTTAGCTCGGGTCTTTCACCCACCCACCATGGCGGATGGCCAGAAAAGTCGGCTCCTAGGGGCTCCTGAAAGATCTTATAGGGCAGCGTAAGGGGAGTGTCTAGGGGTATGCACAGGCTCACGATTGGTGTGCTTCCAGGCTTGGAGGGCTTGCCCTGTGTTGATTAGTCAACTGGTTGTTATGGCCCATAGGCCCTCCCAGGGTGGTTGCTATGCTCTCTACGTCATTGCTGTGCGCTTGTCCGTAAAGCACACCCAGGGTTGTAAAGCATAGCGCCACCAGCTAACTTCTGATTGTTTCCTTGTTCCGAGGCAGGCATCTGACTTTCTAGTGTCTGGGACAAGGTCATAGAAGCACGTGTTCTGCTGTTATGGCTGCCAAAAGCTGGTCCCTTCACTTATTTCACATACCAATCCCAGTTCCTTCTCCCTCCCATCCTCCGGTTCTCCCTATTAACTCCCCCCATCCCACCCCCCATCCACTCCTCAGGGAGAATCATCAAAGTCTGTCACATCATTTGGAGCAGGACCTAGGCCCTCCCTTAGGCTGAGAGAGTATTCCTCCATTGGGAATGGGCAGAACTCAAGCGGGTGATGGAAAGATTTATCGTAACACCAATTGTTTCATGCTCATGCACAGACTCTCCACAATGGCTCTTCCAACCCTCCTCACCCCCCACCCCCTCAGGCTCCTCTCTCAGCCCTTCACTATTGGCATTTCTCCCAGGTAACTTTCCTGGAAAATGGAGATACCTCGAAAAAAAGTTATCCTGCTGTTCTCTCCCTGCTTTATCTGCCTAAGACATTGCTCTGGGGGGCCATGAAGTGTTTGAAGATTGCCTATCTATTTGAAGCATATCTCTGTGTATAACTGGAAACCTAACTAACCCGACTACTACTGTAGATGATTAACTGTATTTTTGTAATTTTGTATTTCTTAGTTATACATTTTCAATTGTACTGTATAAACAGTAACTTAAACAAGAGTAGAAGTATATGTATAGTATAACAAAATTAGCCTTAAATTTATATTAATAAACTAAAATCCATACCAATGTATTACCAGTTTTTTTTTTATTAAAGTGGATTCAATAATCCACCCTTTTCTCCCATCATTTCTATATCATATCCCCCTTTCTTTTAGAAAGAGATTGACTATGACCAATAATAGTTTGTAAACAACCCCCCTTAAATGAAACATTTATAAACAATATTTTGGGAATTGGGTGTAGTTCTCTAAGACTACTTACTGCTGATTGGTGGGTGCTGGTGATCTTTGAGGGACCCTGAGAAAATCAGGATGATTGTTAAGTCTTGGCTGGACTATTCTGTGAGGCTGGATCATCTCAGCAGCCTTGAACCTGTTTTGAATGTTGGATCACCTGGGCCATTTTTATTGGTGTCTGGTTCCCTTGTTCTGAAAATACATAAAACTTTTAAATACATACTTTTATTACTACAAGTATAGACTATGCATTGTACATAAGCCAGCCAAAGATGATTTTTGTTACGTGTTTGAGCAAGCAAAATATACATCATGTGACTTATAGTTACTCTGTCGGAGTCTCTGGGTGCCCCCTAGGTCGAGGTCAGAGAGGGTAGAGTGTGTTGTTCGCCAGTCCTGCAGCCCCCCTGAAAACCCAGAAGCAATCAGAGGCAACAGGGAGTCAAGTCAAGCAAGATCTCTTATTGTTTAACAGTACGGCCCTCTTAAAGTGAAAAACCACTTTAAGGAAATGTATTACCCAATAATTTTAAAGGTATTCCTGTGGTGTATCTGGTGTCCTATCCCCTCTTGGACGGTCTGCGAGTGTGATGACCTCATCAATTGGGCAGCCAATTTTTTTTCTTAGTAAACACTTGAAGCCTCCCCTCCGTAGCTTCCTCCCAGCGCCATCTTGTAATGGTGCCGGCTGTCAGCTTTGGGCCATGCCCTTTTTTGGCTGGACATGATCTGTGCTCCTCCTCATTACTCTAGGGTTATTTTTCCTGTCTGTAGCCAGCATTTCAGGGAGTCTTCCTAGATCAAAAACTGATTTCTCTTAACCCAGAATGGATCCAGAGTCACTCAATTCCTCTGGAAATAAAAAGCAAAACCTCTTCTCCAAAGTAACATATCTTTTGACTTCCATTTTGAAGTCAAGACATTTTCAAAATATAAAGGATGGTGTATTCCAGATGTTTCTTAGCAGCTTTTGGTTCTTGCTTGGCAGTCAAACAATTCAAAGGCAACACAATAACATGCAGTATCTAGACTGTGAATTTTTCATCTTAGTGTTTTTTTATTATTTTATTTAAAGACTTTATTTCTTTCTCTGTCTCTCTCTCTCTCTCTCTCTCTCTCTCTCTCTCTTCTTCTCTCCTTTTCCTTCTCTCTCTCTTTCTCTCTCTTTTTTTTTTTTTCTTTCTCTTCTTTTTTTTCTTTCTTTTTTTGATTTTTCGAGACAGGATTTCTCTGTGGCTTTGGA